TTGCGAAGTGACTCTCTCAGCTGGGATTTTTGTCTCATTTACGTCTTCAAAAGTGTTCTTATTAGCACAGAGCAAGAAGGCATTAAGACTGCACATTTCATTTTGTTACTTCTGAAATCAAATAGCTTTCGACCAATATTTGTGAAAGTCCTTGCTAAGCTAAATAGTGGAAGTCTTAACAGTTTTATTTATAGTTAAGTTCCTTGAACAACCCCAAACCCTACTGCATGCATGCAGCGACTTAAATAATGCACTTAGGAACCAATCTATCTATATATAATAAAAATAGTTTGTCTCTTTCTTTTTCCTCTCACGAATAATGTTGTATATCTTTGAGCTTGCAAGTTGTTACTGTTTTTTATGAAATTGTATATATTATCTGAAGAACTCAATTTTATTTCTAGCAGCAAATTTTATTTCTATTAGTGTAGCAGGTTGTTTCAAGAGCTAAAAGGGAAGATATATTCCTCTGAAATAACTTGGGCATATTTTACTGGACTTGAGGTTGTAGTGTGTCTCACCCAGGCAATGCTTTTTTCTTARAGGACGGAATTGTAGCCTTCTGTCCTTAAAGGACAGAGTTTAGTGGAGACAGTAAAATGTAAAATTGGCCCATTTTCCTGCTTTTACCTAGTGGAAAAGAGACTCATGTTAACTTCCATTTTTTAAAAAATTATTCTTCTTGAAGACTGTGCCACCCAAGTGAGTGAGTTCAAGTTCTGGTGAAATGTCTGAAAAAGTCATCTTTTGTAGCTGCAGGTTATTTGCCCAGTGGGGCTTTCCAGAACAAGTGCTGCGGGGGAAACTTGTTTTCTGGATGCCTGCCTTGAGAGTCAGGACTTTTTGTGTCTATTTTTAAATGTTCTCTTTGCTCTTATAATAGAGAAGCACAGTTTCCTTTCCTTGGAAAACCATGAAACAGTATTTATGAGGAAAGCTGCTTTACCTCCTGGAAAGTGCCATGTCAGGTTTTATTGTATAAACTAAGAGCTCTTGATAAGAAGCTGCTTTTACAGCCTTGTTAACRTTTATAAATACTTGGGCCAAAATAACTTGTCGTTATTAACTTGTCAGTAATTCTGCTGAGCTAAATTTTGTTGAGTCTCTCACAATGGTCTTCTACCTCTTAACTAGAATCTGGAAGGAAAAAAAAAAAAGCAATTAGGCCTTCACTTGTCTTTCTGCTTCTGTTTTCTTTGAAAAATTGTGGGTGGTAAAATTGTTACAGTTCGTATTTTCTATGATTGTTTACACTTCTGAATTTATTGTTTCTTAAATATTTTGTTTGTATCTCTGAGTTTTGAATTTAAAATAAATTATTTGTACATTTATTGAAAATTAATTTGTACTTGACTCTTAGCTAATAGACATTGTCTCACAATTGGAGGTCTTTTGGAGACATGCAGTTTATAAATATAAATAGAAGATTTGGCAGTGTTCCATACAGATCTTTGAAGAAAGAGAATTAAGGCTATGGGATTATCAAGAGAAATAAAATTGCAAACTACTTTTTTCCCCAGTTCTAGTACATATGTGAGGTCAGATCCCTGCTGTCAGACTCCTGCTTAAATAAAAATTAATCTTCGTCTAGTTGCACAGTCTGTGAGCTCAGATATCAAAGGCTTGTTTTATTGCAGGACAATCATCCCTATTGTAAAAAAAAAAAAAAAAAAAAAAAAAAATTCTCTCCAGCTCCTGCTTAATACGTAAGGATTAGTAGACACTAATTCTTTGCTATTTTTTTCTTTTTTTTTTCTCTATTTCATTGTAAAAAAAAAAAAAGAAAAGAAATTAGGTCGGAGTTTCAAGCAAGATTATTTCCCAAAGCTCTTCTACAAAAATGTTTTGAAAGATTGTACATCAGTGGCCATCACTTGGATTTCCCCATTTTCACTGGGGAAAGTGATGTGATGGCCAGGAAAAACTAAAATCTCTGCATGTTGTATTGAAATTCTTCTCAAATTAGATTTAAGACGATGAACCCTTACAGGAAGTAAAGCTATTTGCAGAGGAACAATTTTGATGCCATGTAGGGTGGTGGAGAAGGACAGGCTCTGAGGCGTATTTTATTAGCACTGTGCTAACTGCATTCAACTATCAGTCCTGATGTCTTTCCTGTGCGTTTTTGTTACACAAGATGAAGTTCTCATTGCTTGGGAACTCGCAGATTATTTTCTGGTGTGGGAAGTGTAGGGGAACGAGCTGAGCTTTTAACTGCTCTTTGAGGCTGAAAATAAACAAAGACTGAGGAAAAACAGTAGCTGGTGAAAAGCTTCTACCTCCCAAACTCTCTTTTTCCAAGGCTAGTTCCTGTAACCTCTTAGTTTGAGGTCAAGGCCCCTGTGTGTGCCAGCAGAGCAGAAAGATGGGTGCGGTGAACTTTGCCACAGCGGCATGAAACTGCTCTACCTGGCAACTGCTACATGAGTTTACTTCCACGCCYGCCATTAAAGATCAGTAACTCCCCGTGCATTTTCCGTGGTGCTATTTATTACGGAGAAGCAGCTGCCTGTGGAGGGTGGAAGCCAATAGGGCCCATGGCACACTCGCGGGTAAGTTTTGCCTTTGAACCAAAGACGCGGTAGGAGAATTTGACTTTTCCAGGTGTTTTCCTTGGCTGCCCTCAGACATAGGGCGGGCTGCGGCTGCAGCCGCTCTGGCGCTCAAGCCTCCTCCTCGCCTCGCAGCCTCTGGCTGCCCAGAAACGTGTGTTTGGTTTCAGGATTTATTTATTTGTTTGTGTTTGTTTATTGTTATGCGTAGCTGTAGCCCCCTTCTCCGAACAACGCGCGCGACTCGCCTCAGCGGCGCGGCCGTTGGGGCGGGGCGGCCGTTGGGCGG